CCCTCAACCCCGGAGCATGCCAGTCACGGCTGATAAGCTGCGAAAAGCTCCCAGAGGGGGAAGAGCAAAAACAAACTGGACACGTTAGGACCTGAGTGTTGAGGCCTCCCTTCCCACCAACCCTGATCTGAGCCACAGAAGATGAAAACCCCCCATAAATTATCCCAAAACAAGTTCAGTGGGCTCAGTACTTCAAACGTTTTAATTTCACTTTAAAATATTTTCCTGGGGATAAGAACTTTTTAGCTGATGCCTTATCTAGAATGCCCCAGTTCAAGAGCCACCAAGAGGAAGTAATTAACTCCATTATTCCTCCACTGCAATCCACTTCTCAAATAACAACCAGGTCACAAACACAGAGACCCCCTGCTGGTCCTGATGATTGCTCACTTGAAGGAGAAGTTAGAAACTGATGCCTGGTTTAAAAACAACAAATCTGTTTTAACATTAAGGGAAGGATTAGCTTGGAAGGGTTCCAAGTTATACCTCCCAGTTGGCCGCAGGCCCCAAGCACTGCAACCGAGTCATGACGCTAAGCAGGCGGGTCACTTTGGATTTTTGAAGACATCACATCTGGATACGGAGGCAATTTTGATGACCAGGAATGAAAAAAGACATGGAGAGTTATGTTAAGAGTTGTGCCACCTGTGCTGTCATGAAGAGGCATCCTGGAAAACCCCCAGGATTGTTGCAACAAGTTGCTGAACCTTCCCAGCCTTGGGAGGAGATAGCCATGGATTTTATAGTGGAATTACCTGAGAGCAAGGGAAACACTGTAATATGGATTGTGATTGATCTATTTTCTAAACAAGTGCATTTCTAAACAAGTGGAGTTTCATCAGTACGCAGATGACACCCAGTTGTACATCTCCACCCCGGACCACCCCAACGATGCCGCGGAAGTGATGTCCCGGTGCCTGGAGGCCGTGCGAGTCTGGATGGGGAGGAACAGGCTTCGACTCAACCCATCCAAGACCGAGTGGCTGTGGTTTCCGGCGTCACGACATAGCCAGTTGGCTCCATCCCTGGCTATCGGGGGCGAGTCATTAGC